GGACAATCCTGAAGACGAACTGAAAGATTGTCCCCAAACGAAATAAATGGCTGCCACTGCCGAAAAGGGACTTAGCGAAAAGACTGCTTAGCGGCAGCTGCGGCTCTTCCCAGGCAATGGAAAGTGGATCAGGAGAAGGCAAGTTAGATAAGACGCCAACTCCCGCCCCAGCCCGGGCCACACAGGCTCTCAGGGTCACCTCCACTCAAGTTTTGGCAAAAAATAGAAAATAAACCAGTGTACCAGTAAGGAAAGTCAAAAAATTAAAATAACAAGCAAAAAAACGCGAACCGGAAAAAAAGGTGCAAAAAAATGAAAGTGCTAAACCGGCAAGCCGGCTAGCTGTCAAACCTGTTCTAAACCTCTTTGCAAAAAAAAAAAAAAGCTTAATCCAGGGGGTGAATATTCTTCTACAATCCTAACTATTCAGAGGGTGGTCTGAACACGCTGAGACCGAGTGAAGAATTGGGGACCATTACCAGAGGGTGTGTCCTAAGTTTTTCAACTCAGTCTGCAGAGCTAGGGGACTAGAGACTACCCATCCTGGATTCTCCCTTCGGCTCAGTGGAGAATATGCCCATCCACTTTCTGGACAGCTTAAATGACCTCTCTACTAAAGGGTTTTACTTTATGAGCAAGAATTGGCTGCTGATAGTTATCGTTGCCGTTTAATTCCTCAAGGTCCTCTGGTACCCTGCCTGATTTGTAACTCCGGCTTGCAGGTATTGCTGATGAAAAGGAAGGTATTCCTTTGGAGAGTGATTTTTTATTTTTTTATTTTTTTCCAGATTTTGTTCTATTGTACTGTATTAATTTATTTGATTCTTTTTGTTAGTTTTTATTGTTGTTGTTTTAAATATGGTTTTACATTGTGTAAGCCGCCACAAGTTGCCATGGGTGAATAGCCGACAATATAAATTCAATAAATAAATAAATAAATATTCAGACAGAATGGTTTAGGTTTTCATGATGGTTGTGGCTATCATTGATCTTCGGTGTGTATTCCCCCATTTCTAATCTAATGTTTGGTATTTTTGCAAGCAAAGAAGCTTTTTGTATTTTTGTACATGTAATACTTGACATATAATAGTACATTTAGTGGCCATTCAAAGTGACAATGGCACTGAAAAGGGTGACATGACCATTTTTCACACTTATGACCATTGCAGCATCCCCACGGTCACGAGAGGACAGGTGAGGTGAAGCGCCCCTCACCGTGAGTGACGTTGAGTTGGCCACATCCACTCAGTCATATGACCACCCAGCCACACCTACCCATCTGGCCATTAGGGCAAAGAACCGGTTGTTAAATTATTTGAATCCCACCACTGCCAAAAATCCAAACAACTAAAACTTCCATCATCAAACAATTAGCAATTATTCAAATATCATGCTGCAAAAAGATAAAACAAAAGGACAAATGGGGACAATGTTAAAAAATAAATTGAATCCAATGTATATTATCCTATTGGACTGAAATAAATATTGCTGCATATAAGCAGTAAGATCCACTACTGGTTCAATGATTGCACACATGAGTGCTCACCTAACATGCGCACGCAGCTTTCCCCACACCAGCTGAGGCCTACAGTGCCAATCAGCTGAGAGGATAAAGAAGAGAAAAGCGCAGGGGCAGGTGGGAGGAACAATCCTACGCTTTTCTCTTCTTTCTCATCTGAGCTGATTGTTGGAGGCGGTTTTTTTCCTCCTCTCAGCTGATCGTCAGAGGCTTTTTTTACTACCGGTTCGGCTGAAAAAGGCCGAACCAATAGCATACCACCACTGCTGAATATGCAAGACATATTTTATCAGGAAATTGTTGTCCCAACCATCAATCCAATGCAATTTTAAGTTGGAAGATGCCTTGGTTTCTCTTTCAGGACTTGGAGGCTATGTTCATCTTTAGAAGAATACAAAATGAGCTCAGAGTTGAAAAAGCAAGCATAAACCAAATATTTCCTTACATCAATTATAGCAGATGGGATAGGATAATGTAAATGGTGGCAGAAAAGTAAGGAAAATGTATTGCAATATTAAACTACAAATTGAAATCTTTACTTAGCCTCATTTTCACTTGAATGTGCTATTTTTCTTTTTCAATTTTCTTACTAAAAAAGCTACATTACGAAAATCAAGAAATATATTGTATGATAAGTATGTAAAACTAGAAAAGAGATTAGAGTTCTGTTTTATAAAATAGTTTCCACATGTTTAAATCAATCCAATAAATTATTTTTAAAAAGTTTTTACCCTTATTTAAACATTATCCATATTTAGCAAACATCATAACATAGTATAGACTTCTAACTTGTGATAATCAATTACACTCTCAGTTCTCTATAGATGCACTCTAGTATATTATGGTATCTAGAATCAGTATACAAATTGTACTGAAAGTATTTTCAGGCCTTCTTTGATAAATATAAAACATAATTGTGATACTAAATGGGCAAACACAAAAACAAGGTATCAAAAGATTATATAGTAAGAGATACAGTCTCCAACTTATTGTAACTGAGTTGACACTTTTGGTCATAACATCATGAAAAGTGGGACTCTCTCATATCTAATTTAAGACCTTTTTTGTGGCAGGCATTAAACAACCCAGTAGTTGTTAAGCAAACCATTGTTTACTCTGGGACAGGTTTTGCCAGAAACAGGAAATAAATGCTGGTTTCTGGCAAAAATGTCATAAATCAGTCAACTGGTGCTGAGAATGGCCATAAATATGCCAAGCGCCAAAAATGCAGTCACATGACCCAAGGAACATGGACATTGGAACTTTGAATCCAGATTCTAAGTCCCATTTTGGGGTTCATCATAACTTTATGTGACTGGTCATAGACTGAGGACTACCTACAGTGGAAAGATGAGCACTATAATTATATCTGGATTTTTAAAACTCATATGCCCAAAACTTCAGCAAATACTTTCTCATGCAAATACTATACTAAACCAACACAATGATTTTAAACCATTAAGTTTTAATATTAAGACTTATAAAAATCTTGTTAAGGAATTTTTTTTCATTGAGTATTTATCTTTTATTAAAAATAAATCTAAGGCAACATAGAATAACAATGTTACATGCTAAATTTAGTGAAATGCAAACATGTAAGATAGGCAATTGATTTAGGCAAATAAATAAGTGGGATAAAATGTACTCTGAAAAACTCCCAACTTTTTACTAGAAATTACTATTAAGAGTAATTTATTTTCTATAAAGAGAGCAAATTCATACCAGTAAGTTACTCATAAAGTAATAAAGGTGGGATACAAATCAATCAATCAAATAAATAAATGTTATATCCTTCCAGACTTGTATTGAGAAACAGAATATTTTAACAAAATAATTTTAACTAAATAATTTAATTAAAAGTAAAGGTGTAAAACAAAACTGCTTCAACAAATCAAGAGCAACTATTACTATGTATTACTAATTATTCATACATGTTATAACACAAATTTTGGGTGGCCTGGGACCTCCTAAAGCAGGGCTGTCAAACTCCTGGCCTGAGGGTCGGATGCCTCATGCACTGGCCACGGCCACACCCGATTTAGTGAAGGGGGGAAAAGACCTGATACATCATGTGATGCCGTCATGACGATGTGAGTTTGATATCCCTGCTCTACAGTGTACATCATTATGGAGCATTTCTTTGCTTTTAAGGATTTTATGCAAAAATAATAAGAATATTTAATAAGAATTGTGGATTATAAGAACAAATAGAAAAAAAGCACTGCACTGCTGTGTATATCACATATCAAATATTACATTTCCTTGTTTTAGCAGAGAATACTTACATTTTCTGGAATAATGTTTGGAAGGACAGTGACAAAACCCTGGCATACTTTAAATATTTTATTCATAAAAATAAAGATTTGCAAGTAGGCTATCACAAAAAAAATTACTTCAGCATCTTCCACAGTTCAAATCTTATTCTATTCAATTTCTAATTAACTTCTTTTATCTTTTATAAAGAGGCCAGGTGGTGGCACAATGGTTAGAAATATTGCAGGCTAACTCTGCCCATAACCTGAAGTTTGATCCTAACAGGGCATGAGGTTGAATCATCCTTCTATCCTTATGAGATTGATAAAATGAGGACCCAGATTGTTGGAGTTTACAATGCTAACATTGTAAATGTCCCAGAAAGTGCTGTAAAGAACTATAAAATGAACATTGTAAATGTCCCAGAAAGTGCTGTAAAGAACTATAAAATGATATATAAGCACCACAAAACTTTACATCATAAGTGTACAATGCCTAACAGTAAACAGACACAGAAATACCTTATAAGTGCATTTTCTGAAATCTTCCTGTAATTATCGTATCTGTCATAATGTGAAAAATAAAGGTAAAAGATATAATCTTTATATAAGAGAAGAGAAACCTGATATAGTAAAAAAAAGGGAAAAAGTTGATTACTTTGAAATGCTATTTTCCATCACTATTTCATCAATAATCCAAAAGGACAGATAAAGAATGTGTACTATAGGCACATACTAAATAAAGTATGCACAATAGCAGGATAATGTACACAGAATACAAATGATAACTATGTGTATATATTTTATTGTGCAGACATTATTTAATTTAGATTGTATGCGACCAATTCCAGTATCCAAAGTGATTCCTTAGTGTTCTTCTAAGAACTGGATTAGAAATTTAATTGATTAGCATAGATTATCCAAGTTCCCCCAAAATGGATAAATTTTAAGCACCATTAGGGTATCGACCACTTTCTTGATTTATAAGAGGAACACTAATTTCACTGTCCTTTGTGTAAAAAAAAACTAGGGAGTATTCAAAAAAAAGTAACCCTAATATTTTTTATCGAACTTAAGTCATTAAGAACTGAACCAAAAAATGTGGAAGGTGAAGCAAAAATTATACTGATACTTCTAATATTAGTATCAGTAAATGAAACAAAAAAATGAACATTTTCAGCAACTCAGATTGTACCAAGCATGCAGAAAGCAACATAAGGTAATTATACCTGTTGCAATCCATCTGTACCATACGCTGCCCTCATTTCTTCTAGCTCTTTATTTAGCTCTTCAATCTCTTGCTGCTTTCCAGCCAATTCATTCTTCATCATCTCCAGTTCTGTTACAGTATTCTGCACCTCATGATCAGTATACTTCTCTCCAAATTCCAATTCTTCTTCCTAAACCAATTCAAGGTTCTTAAAACCCAGCATGGTATAATATTGTTTTAAAGTGAAGATATGTAAAATATTTTTTTTTGCAAAATGAGACAGTACTTTAGAGCATTGCTATGTAAACTAATTTTATTAGTATAGCTTGCTCTATAACAGCAGCAGCATATTAATACAAATTAAATTTTAAAAGTTGTCTTCTCAATACTGTGAAAATGCAACAGAAGGATAGAGCACATAAACTAAAAATTATTATGGCATGCAAGTAGAAGAATTGAAGTTAATAGTCTTAATTCATTTCTCAAAGCAAATTACTTAGTGTTTTAGTATTAACTGCCACAAATTCATTATAAATACTGTACCCTAATAAAGTCAGAAGGTACATCAGTTCTTGTCAAAAAATTTCCACCATTTATCTGCATGAGAAAAATGTCTCTATGGGTTACACTTTAAAATACAACTTAGAATGCAATTGATGTCTTTTTAGAAATAAGTATCTGTCCTCTAATAAGTATACAATAGTCTCATATTTACTTCTGATTAATTATATCTCCAGTTTACTTAATCAACACAAGAAAATAATCTTGTCAGTAAAGTAAAATAAGGAGAAGCCTCGTGTTTTGTAATATTTTTTCCCAACAACTTGGACAATGAAAAAAAACCACACATTTAAAGGATTTCATTGAATTTTTACAGAATTACAGTATTTACAGAATCAGGATTTTTTTTCTTAATGCAAAAGTGTGCCTGATAAAGATATAATGGATAATGTATGTACTTTAAAAAAGAAAATACTTCAAGGTTTCCATTGCACTGTAATACAAAATGTTTTTCCATCAAAAAGTAATAGAAATCTAATAAAGTTTCTGATATAGTTTGAGGAACTATAAAGGAAGAGTTACAGAAGAGGAAGTATCTAACCAAAACTGACAGATCCTAACAAATTGGTCAGACCCGATTAGTAGTTAAGATGAAGGACATCAACAAATCCCAGGATTAAGGCTACATTGAGAGAGAGAAAAACATGGAAGAAAAAATTATAAGACACTTCCATGCTACTGCCAAAAATTTATGTAGACACATTCAGGTGATCACCAGTTACTGAACTTAACTTGTGGAAGAAACTTACTGAGTATGATTCCAAGACTCAAATGGAAGAAAACAGAAGTAACAATTATAAGTAACTTGTATTTGGAAAATACATCACAGGTTCTATATTTCAAACATATCCAATATAACAGCTGATACAAAACTCCTGAGGTTTTCAAAAAGTTGGATTCTGAGTTGAGGAATAAAATTTTATTTGTTACATTAGTAACTAATACCTTACCTAGGACACTGAAAATCAGAACTTAAGTAAATTGAAATATTAGATATTCTGACAAAGGTTAAACAGATGTCCAATATGCATAAATTGTTAATTCAAATACATCAGAAACAATTTACGCCTCTCATAATTTAGCCTGTTGCTTTGGATCATCTTATAGCTTTCAGGACCTTACATTCCAAGCTACGGCTTTGCTTATTTGAATATTTGTGCAAAATGAAGCACAACAAAAACATAATGAGTTATCAAATATTTGATAATGCTGTATTAAATCATATAATTCAAACAAGTGAAGCCTTTAAGCAGTAATCCTATTAACCTATGAGGAAAGGGCACAAGTATCAAAATCTTGTTCTCACCATGATCCCTCCATCATATTTGATCTATTATGGATACTAATAGACCAAAAGCCAACATAGGTTTGTTAAAACAGATCATGCCAGATTAATCTTATTGCATTCTTTGACAAAGTGACAAAATTAGTTGACCAGAGGAATGCTGTCAATATAATTTACTTGGACTTAAGTAAGGCACTTGATAAACTAGACCATAACCTACTGCTAGATGAAGTAGAAAATGTGGGTTAGACAGTATCACCACCAGATGGATTTGTAACTGGCTGACTAACCACACTCAAAAGTGTAGTCCTCAATAGAACTGTATCTACATGGAGGTATGCATTGAAGTACCCCAAGGCTCTGTTTTAGGCCCAGTACTCTTCAACATCTTCATCAATGACTTGGACAGGGGGATAGATGGGGGACTCATCAAATTTGCAAACGACACCAAGCTGGCAGGAATAGCCCACATTCCAGAAGATAGGCTTAAGATACAAAAGGATCTTGACAGCCTTGAAAATTGGGCGCTATCTAATAAAATGAAATTCAACGGTGAAAAAGTAAGGTTCTACATTTAGGTAAGAAAAATAAAATGCACAGGTACAGTATATGTGGTACCTTGCTCAATAGTAGTAACTGTGAGAGGGATCTCGCAGTCCTAGTGGACAACCATTTAAATATGAACCAGCAGTGTGCAGCAGCTGCTAAAAAAACTAACATAGTCCTCAGCTGCATAAACAGGAATAGAATCAAGATCATATGAAGTGTTAATACCACTTTATAATGCCTTGGTAAGGCCACACTTGGAATACTGCATTCAGTTTTGGTCGCCACGATGTAAAAAAATACGTTGAGACTCTAGAAAGAGTGCAGAAAAGAGCAACCAAGATGATTAGGTAACTGGAGGCTAAAATATATGAAGAACTGTTGCAGGAACTGGGTATGTCTAGTCTAATGAAAAGAAAGACCAGGGGAGACAGGATAGCAGTGTTCAATATCTCAGGGGCTGCCCCAAAGAAGAGGGAGTCAAGCTATTCTCCAAAGCACCTGAGGACAGGACAAGAAGCAATGGGTGGAAACTAATCAAGGAGAGAAGCAACTTAGAACTAAAGAGAAATTGCCTGACAGTTACAACAATTAATCAGTGGAACAACTTGCCTCCAGAAGTTGTGAATCAAACACTGGAAGTTTTTTAAAAGATGTTGGATAATTGTTTGTCTAAACTGGTGTACGGTTTCCTGCCTAGGCAGGAGGATGGACTAGAAGGCCTCCAAGGTCCTTTCCAACTCTGTTATTCTATTTAAGTTCAATAAATAATTTGATGCAAAAGATGTGCTCAACAACAACTTGTATGGATGAGTCTCTCCATGAGAAATAGTCCTATGGGTGAAGGAACCAATGAGAGTTGGACAATGGCATAGAACAGATTGTAGTGAAGAGATTGGGTTTCATTACAACTCTGTATCCTGCATTCAATCAGCCATGACTGCCAACCTCCTGGGAGGAGAAAACTCTTAAAGAATTGAATGCCATGCTTGCAAAGAAACTCTTTCTCTTCATTCTAAAACATTATTCATTAGTAAAAAAGAACTGCCACTGGAAAGGATTGTTGCTCTCCTTTTACGCAAAAACAGAAAAAAATCGGTTCCCTATTAATGAATGGTAGTCAACATGTAGGCCTGACTATAATCATTTTCTAAGCTTCCAGTTATAGGCATGATACAGGCCTCTTGTGAATCCATAACGAATTCAACTTAATTCAAATTCTAATCATCAATTTTATAAATATAATTCTGTAGCATGTGGGGAAAATCCCATCCCAAGAGGGTCAGACACAAAAAAGAAAAACTTAAATCTGATCTGTCAATCAGATTTGAACCTATAAATCTAGATAGAGATAGAGATCATGAGAGAAATTCAAGAAATGCAAACTCTAAAGAATCAATAAGAAATATGAAAATACATGGTTTAATTTTTCCTTTGTATTTTTTTTTTCATGGGAGGAACAGAACAGATCTATTCCAGCTTGACTTAAAGGCAAGTAAATAAAGCCCTAAATTTCAGGGATGTGGAAGCTAGAAAATTAAGAATGATATAACTATCTGAAGAGCAATGGAGCTAAAAGCAAAGTAACAATTTGGATTTGTCTTTGTTTCATTTTATTATACTGTGATTTATTCCATTTTGCTCTATTCTATAGGAATATTTCTTAATGGAGAAGCAATTAAATTGTTCAACTCTTTTTGTTTTTTGTTCTTTATGGGTTCTGTTGGTTCATTAATTTCAATTTTAAAAGGTTTGGATTTCTTTGCGGAATCAGTCCATTCTGAGAGATTTTTAACTTTATACACTTCCTGCTAGGCTAAGCTACTGAGAAAAGTCAAAGGAGATTCCATTTTATCCAAACATTAAACTACTGCAAAGAAGAACTAAACAGTGTGCTGGCAGCATACATAACAAGCTACCCACAAATATATGGGAAGGTATAGCAGAAGAGTGATAAATAGGGGAACAGTCTATGTATATTGACACAATTACACACCACAAAATAGTCCAATAATATTTAATAATTACTGATAAGCCCATTTTTTCAAAACTATATCATGTTATTTGGTCACAAATATTCCTCCTAAAATTATTTTTAGGAATACTTATTTAGATGTGTTTGTAGACCAACTTTCACCATGCTGATTGTATGAAATAGTTCACATAAAATAAACTCACATAAAATAAACTAACATAATAAAAATAATTATAAAAATAAAAGCAGCATTTAAAAAAACTGTTTTGTTAAGCAACATATAAGACATCATAATCTTACCTCTGAGCTGTAATCATCTGCTGGAGTGGAAATCTCACTTTCTAGCTAAAACAGAAATAAAAATAAAAGGATGAGAATTTTTATAGCATTCTAGCATAGGAAGATAAGGAAAACCTTCAGTATCTTGAACAACAGTTGCTAGGCAGCATCTGTTATTGCTAAGACTGCTTAAAATTAACACATGTTTTAAAAGATGCTTAAAAAGATGCTTATATTGGAAAAATGAAGCTAAATGTAATGACTTTTGAAAGTAAGGGTTGAATAATAAGACTTGAACAATAAACAAAGATTACTCTTGACAATTGGTAATTTGAATCTCTCTTGATATTTCTCTTTCCTGGAATTAAATTGCGAGAAACCTTTTGGAGCCTATAATCAAGTTGCCTTGAGGTGTTAGGAAACATTTTATTTTAGTGACCTCGGCCATATTTGAATCCTGGTACAAATCTTTAGTATAAACTAACATTACAGGAAATTTAGCAACACAATGTTGACATTCCTTAAAGCTGATTGTGATATTACATACAATTGCAGGTGGGGGAAAAAAATGATTATTAGCCAACCTCAATATAAGTAGTTTTAGCTTTACTGTGAAATTGATTTCCTGGTCTGGTTTATCTAGTGGGGCTGAAAGTTGGGCCAGAATATGTGTTGTGCTTGATAGAAGCTGCTCAGATTTGTTCAGCTGGTCAATGATCTCCAAATATAATAAAGTAAATATTAAAGCCTGGCCCTTCTTGGTCTCTTGCTAACTTTTCATGCCATCATGGTATCCTTATGGACCAGCACAGGGGGTTGGGAAAAGTCATGGTCTTGAGGAAGTTATCTTTCCTCCTTTAGTGCTGGTTCTAGTTAGTGTAGGTAGGAAGACAAAGACCTATAGTTTTGCTTTGTGGTTACTTCTTGGCTCTTCAATATCCTTGTTCTTGTTTTACATTTACATGAACCACTGGGAAAGGTTATCCAGCAGCATGAGGTTAAATGATATCAATATGCTGACAATACCCAGTTACATACCTTAACTCTGAGCCAACCAAGTGATACAGTCAAGCTTCAATTTCAATATCTAGAGGATAGGAGTTTGGATGCAAACAGATTTATGCTCAACCTTTGACAGAACAAATGGCTGTGAATTTGGAGGGACATTCAGTTCCAGAGATCTTTCAGAGTTTTATATAGTGTTATGTTATCACAGACAGAAGTGGTAAATTATTTTGAGATTCCTGTAGACTTCTGGTTCCACAAATCATTTTGTGCGATTAGTGCGCCCATTTATGAATTGGGAGCTCTATTCTCAGTTAGCGGCATACTAGTTAGGTTTTATCTGGATTACTATAATGTGCTTTATATGTTGCTGCCCTTAAAGTCCACTTAGAAACTACAACTGAATGTGTGGTTGTTCAGTAGAATGTGTAAAAGATTGTGGGAGCATGAGTAGTTATGGGTGTGCTTGTGTACTCTTGTGTAACACTGGAAACATGTAAATGCACCGATTCCCAATGAAGGTCAAGGTACAATTGAAGGTGCAAGCCTGATTGTCATGCTTCAGGTACCTCTTCCTATCCAACATGATCCAACAGGATTAATATGCTCTGAATTCAATAAAAAGCCATGCCTTTTCTGTTGCAGCACTAGTCCTTTGGGATTGCCTTCCCTTCCTCAAATATGGTTGGTCCCAACCCTGTCATCCCAAGGAAGACCCTGAAGACCTGTGTTTTCCTCCAGGAACTGATCAATTGTAGCTACAGGTAATTCTCAACTTACAAGTCAGTTAGTGACCATTTGAAGTTACAACATCACTCAAAATAATGTATGATCATTTTTCATACTTAGAACTATTGTAACATCCTCATGGTCATATGATCAAAATTTAGGTGCTTGAGAACTGTTTCATATTTATGTTGGTTGCAGTGTCCCAGTGTGACCTTTTCCAATCTTCTGATAAGCAAAGTTAATGGGAAGCCAGATTCACTTAACAACCATGTTACTCACGTAACAACTGCAGTGGTTCACTTAACTGTGGCAAGCAAGATTGTAAAATGCGGCAAAACTCACTTAATAAATGTCTCATTTAGAAACAGAAATTTTGAGCTCAACTGTGGTCATAAGTTATACTTGTCAGGATTGTAATTTTATTATTTCTTTTGCATTTAATGCTTTTAACTCTTGTTAGCTATCAAAAGACTTCTGGCGGATGGATGGGTGGATGGGTGGATGGAAGGAAGGTAGGGAAGGAAGGTAAGTAAGTAAGTAAGTAAGTAAGGAAGGAAGGAAGGAAGGAAGGAAGGAAGGAAGGAAGGAAGGAAGGAAGGAAGGAAATGAGCTTTTGCAGATCATATGCTACTAATATTCTATGGGAGTACATATCTTGTGAATTCATAACTTCATTAAATAGGCAACATTTTAAATTTTCACCTATATTTCTCCAAGTTTGTAATCCTTTAAAAAGAATAAACAAAGGATAAATTTATATCAAAATCTGTTTTTCATAAAGAAATTGTTCTTAAAAATTACTATTTATAAATGGAAAAATACTAACAAGGTTAAGAATATTTTCACATTTATAGATAGAAATATCTGATAATTTCTTTTGTATTTTGTGTCATGTACTGATAGCATCTGTCAGGACCCATCAGAACTTCCAACAGACATACAGGTAGTTCTTGTTTAACATCCATTTGTTCAATCACTGCTTGAAATTAGGATGGAGCTGAAGGGATTTACAACTGATCCTCAAAGTTCTTAATTAGCTTCTTCTTTTGCACACTAGTGAAAGAAGCTTGATGTGAAAAACACTTTCACATATTGAGTTTCCTTCACAAAAGAAAGCCCTGGCTGGTATGTGAACAGAAGCCCTGGGCAGGGTGTGAAACAAGCTATACCAGTGTGAAAGAAGGCAGCATGGAAAAAGGTTCTGGCAGGTGTGCAATGCGATGGGGGCAGGTATAGTTGGGAAGCTGGATAGGCAGGCATCTAAAAGGACAAAGATGGTAGACAGGTGAGGAAAGATCAAGAAGAGGCAGTCTGTTATTTCAGTAAGGCTCATGCTGGAACAGACCCAGCAGGATGGCTTGGAGTAGGGGGGATCCCCACCTATTGACCAGTGGGATTCATTTAATCATGGTAATGGAGACTGCTGGGGTTGCCAATGGCAAAGTGACGTGGTCATGTGACATCACATTTTACAACCACAGTGTTTAAGGACAGAAATTCCAGTTACAATTGTCATGGATTAACTGAGGGCTACCTATATTACATTGCAATAAAATCAACTATTAACTCAATATTTACAATTTGCCAATAACCAATAACATTTTAAATAAACATCAAGGTAGATTATTTTGTGAGCTCATTTTAAAACACCACAATTTCAATAAATGCTAGTTAGTTATTTTTTTAATCAATATTTATCTTTCTCAATCCTATCAAACTCTGGCACTATAGCCTCTTATCGTGGTATTGTTATTAATACTGTTGCTCATGTAAAAAATAGTGGTTACTTTTACATGGGAAAATTACTTGCGCTTATTTTCAAAACAAAAAAGTTAAAGCATATTTACAATATTTAATATTACTACACCATCTAACAATAAACAGGCTCTAACTTTAACCCTGTTTTTTTTAAAAAAATCTCAAAGTCTGAAACACTTACTTCAGTGGTATATGTGTGATCATGCTTGATCATTTCATCACTGTGCAAAGTTCTCACTGTAACAGATTCAGTTGTAGCAGCTGCTCCTCTTTGAAAGCTATGTAGGGATGCTTCTTCTGCTTGCAATTGGTTGGTATCCAAACCTTCTTGTATCAATTCTTCATCTTTGACTTTTGATATCTTTTTCTTCTTCTTCTGCTTCTTAAAGGCATGCTGCCCATCAGAGTATGCTTTTCGTTGTCTAAACTGTGCAAGCTGAACATAAAAGAAAATCTTGTTAGAGCAGACATGGGCATTTTACAGCCTATGGGTCATATCCCACCCTTTCATTTTCCCTGTCTGGCCAAGGCAGCGGTGGCAGGATGGCAGCGGTGGGAAGGAAGTGGAATGAAGGGAGTGACCCTCCACAAGAGCCCCAGTTTCTCATTTGGCTCTTTGGGAAAATTGCCAACCCCTGTGTTAGACGGAAAGATTTCCAATCTTTCATAAATGAAAGTATTTCTTTTTAATGTGTGATGTTCTACATAAACTTGCAATCTAACAGTAGGTTAACTCAGACTAAAGGTCAATGCTTGGTTTGTTTGGTTTTTACATACAAAGTGTGAAAATAATATCAAAAGAAGTTGTAGGTACAATAAGAGAATCAGAATGTAGTCTATTTAATATATATCTTGAAATCTTCAAAGTAATCAGTAACAAATATATGACACAAAAAACCCTAATGAATCTGAAATCTTAAACTTTAAAAAATGTAATTTGACTTCATTCTTATGAATGTCAACATTTTTGAAATGTCATGGGGGGGGGGGGGTCAGAGAGAGAGAGAGAGAGAGAAGCAAGCATCCATACTATTTATGAGTTAAGAAATACAAATGTATCCTGCCATTTGAATAAACAAAAAACAGTCCAGAAAGGAAGTTATTTGCAGAAAACAGAAAAAAATTAAGTATTTGCAAATCAGGCACAATATATTGCATGCCTCTGGAATAAAATAATTTTTGCAGTCTCCTTGCCTGGTGTATTGATAATCCAGCATTTGGCTCCTTTCCCACTCACAGGAGAAGCTTGAGATTTGTAGAACAAAAATATTCACCTATATATTTAGCCCTTGCTTTCTATTAGTCTTCTTTGCCTATTGGATTACCCAATTAACTAATTTGTTTATTACGTTTTTATGTCATTCATCTCATCTATAAGGTGACCTTGGATGGCTTGGCATTTTCTAATTTTAAAATAGCAAATTTATTTTACACTTATTTAACACTTATGAAAGCCTAAGTATTTCATGGGGGAAGGGAGAGAAGAAGAAAGACAAGAGAAATTTCCTTAGCTTTCTTTCCAGTTACTCCATTCAGCTATGTCCATCAAGTTCAGAATAAACAACAGTAAACACAAGAGACTTACTTTCAGAGCAAGACACTTTCTATTCTCTGAAACTATTACTATCAAAGACATTTAATATCAGCATTAGCAAAAAGCCTGTAAATCTGCTCACCTTAATCTTATTGATTACAATTACAAATACATTTTTTGTTATATCTGATATATTTATTAACTACAATCAATATATAGATGCTTGTCAACTCCCTCTTCTTTGTGGCAGCCCCTGAGATATTGGAACACTGCTATAATATCACCCCTAGTTTTTATGTGACTGATTCTCACTCAAGATCTAACAATCTGGTTTTTAAATGAAATGAATTTAAGTTTTAAATGAAGACTTGGTTCCAAATATTTAAAATATCTACCATAACTCAATTAAATTCTAATTAAATATTGAATTATTTTTAACCATGTAAAATGTCAATAACAAAGGAATGGAAAAATGTGACCATTACAGGTAATCCTTAACTAAACCA